TAAAAAAATAGAATACCAGGCAATTATCCAGATATATTAGCTTACATAATTTAGAAATAGTGAATCTTAATTAAGGAAGTTAAAATTCTGCAAACTTAAAATCTGGTTAGAATTATTCTTATTGGATGGACATAGGAAGGTTAAATGATTTGGTATGAGAGATATTGTATTTGTAAAATTGCAATATAATAGGATATCTTGCCTATGAGAATTGTGGCCAGCAGTGAAAGAATTAATTCAGTGTGATTTGACTGTCAGACTAAGTTTTTATTGCTTTACGCTGTGCTGCTGTGAAATGCTGTGAGATGCTGTGTTCTGTGTTAAGTTGATTTCAAAGTAAAGTATCCTGTCGTAAATCTTGTTGAAAACCGCATACACTTCAATATAACTGTTGCTATTTAGCTGTCTATATTGTGTTAAACGACTGCCATATTGTATACTTATGTTATACCTAAATATTCACTGATATTGTCACACATGTTATATATTATTATTGTCACAATAAATTATATTTTTATAATTAATTTGTGATTAATGTGTGCGATAAAATCTTCTAATGAAACTTAATCCAGGATCTATGAGAATTAAAATAGTGGGTAATAACTTAATCTAGGAAACAGTGCAAAGATATAAATTTTGATACAATAAAAATTATTAAATTAGTTTTTGATCATTTGTATGAAAATATTATTTTTAATATTTATCACCCCATAAATATCCTCACAAAATTGCTATCGGAACATAAGACTCACAATAGAGAGACATTTAATATTGTCACTTTAAAGGAACACTATAGTCACCTAAACAACTTTAGCTTAATGAAGCAGTTTTAGTGTACTGATCTCAGGTTTTACTGCTCGATTCACTGCCATTTAGGAGTTAAATCACTTTGTTTCTGTTTATGCAGCCCTTGCCACACCTCCCCTGGCTATGATTGACACAGCCTGCATGAAAAAAAACTGGTTTCACTTTCAATCAGATGTAATTTACCTTATACAATGTTATCTCTTGCTCTGTAAATTTAACTTTAATCACATACAGGAGGCTCTTGCAGGGTCTAGCAAGCTATTAAATTAGCAAGGGATAAGAAAATCTAAATTAAACAGAACTTGCATTAAAGAAAGGATTAACTTTAGATGACTATTTACAGGAAGTGTTTAGGAAGGCTGTGCAAGTCACATGCAGGGAGATGTGACTAGGGTTCATAAACAAAATGATTTAACTCCTAAATTACAGAGAATTGAGCAGTGAGGCTGGAGGGACATGTTATATACACCAAAACTGCTTCATTAAGCTAAAGTTGTTTTGGTGACTATAGTGTCCCTTTAATTTTCAACAATTCTGGCAATAGTAGAGCCATTGAGTCTATTATGCGATGACTTTTTGGAAAATATTATAGGTAATTAGAGTATATTTAAAATATACTGGATACACTTATATGGCGCAGAGCTTATTGGGAAGAGACTCCTGTGAGATCTGAACCTGCTCCATTTGAGGGTATCCAGTAGATTTTAAATACACTCTAATCACCTATAGTATTACACTATGATTTTCCTTTTATTTAGCACCCAAACATCAGATATCCATTTATACATATAGTAGTGTAGTGCTTGACTGTATTCACTGGTGTTGGCTTTTACCACTCAGTTAATTTATTATCTTTTTTATTTTTTTTATTAAATATCTTTTTATTGTTTTTTATCACATATTTATAAATGTACAGGACCAAAGAACAATAATATACCATACATAATTGTACTTTAACAATCTGTTTCCTCATACTTCATTGTGTTCCATTGTACAATATAAGTTACTGACAAACATACCCCCACTAGTGATGTCCCAAACGGTTCGCAAACGGTTAGCCGAACGGTTTGCCACGGACTCATCATTCCAGCCAATCAGCAGCAGACCCTCCCTCCCAGATCCTCCCATCTCCTGGACAGCTCACTAAGAATGCAGCTTCAAAATGGATTCTGTCCAGGAGGTGGGAGGGTCTGGGAGGAAGGGTCTGCTGCTGATTGGCTGGAATGATGAGTCCGCGGTGAACCGTTCGTGGCGAACCGTTCGCGAACCGTTCGGGACATCACTACCCCCCACTCCTCTAAATCAAAAACAAACAAAAAACAAAACAATCCCCCACTCCTCTACCTTTTCCCCAGTCTTCCCTATTCCTCCTTCCTTTGTATTTCAATGTTCTTATCTTCTTCCTATTGCTAAATTATATTTCATATCATTTATTGAGGTCTACTATATGATCTTGTTTCGCGTCCTTTAACTTTTTCCATCGTTATCATCTCATTAAAAATTCTATTTGGTATTTTTTATTTTTAGTCTCTTTTATCCATTTTCTTTGTATCTTTTCCATGATGCCCATCTTTTATTATGTTCTGGACTCTTTTCTTTATTCAAAAATATTATTTGTTACATATCTTATCGACCATAATGTCCCATTCTTCTTTTGCAGCTATCTGTGCCTGCCTCCAATATTTAGGTATTAATACATTGTCCGAATTAATTAATCTAATCATCAGGGATTCCAAGTATTATAATAAGTAATATTTAACTGGTTGGTATGTGTTATGTAATAATATTTGAGATGGGTTCATATCTAGGGATCTTATTATTTTCACTAATTTTTCCCAGAATGGCCTTATGAGAGAACCAGACCACCAGATGTGTATAAAGGTGCCTACTTCTTTCATACATCGCCAACACTTTTCCGAATTTTGTTTGATCTTATGCAAGATGTATGGGACCCTTTATATCATTATAGCTATTTTGTCAATTGATCACTTGATAAGACAGTATTAAGGTCAGTCTCTCGTTGTCTAATAAAATATGGATTATACTTTTTCTCGTTATTCTTTTATAAACTTTCAATATCAATCTATTTTGGTGCTCTTGTGTCCAACACAGTTTCTAGAAAGTAGTTAATATTTCTAATGTTTGTGATTTTTGTTTAAGGGTAGATATATAATGAGTTATTTGAGGGTCTATATAAAATTTCTGGAAGTTATGATTCTGTTGTATATTTAAAGTGCTAATTTAGGATAGGGTGTTTCAAATGAGATTATTTCTATATTTCCTCTTTCCAATACTGGTGGAAATTCCTCATTATAGGTTAAAGGTGTCATCAAAGAGTATTTTGAGATAATAATTTCTTGTTTGTACATTTCCTTCATAATTTTACAAGTACATGATACAGTAGGATGGTATTTATCTATTAGTTGTATGTTAAATAACCATGGGGCCACTCTTATAGGTATATTAAATGCATTTTGTTCTATATCAATCCAATCTTTTTCCGAATTGTTCCAATTAATTATCCTATTATTTCTCAATGTCTGAAAATCCCATGCCACCTTTATTTTTTGATTTTTATTATATAGTTTAAAAAAAAAATTTGGAACCTCTATTAGTACTGTTTGCATTATATATATTATCCTAGGTGTAAAATTAATTTATACTACATTAACCCTTCCGAGCCAGGAAATCGTTAACTTGATCCACTTTTGTATATCTGATTTCATTTCCTTTTAGATTTTTAAATAGTTAATTTCATACATATTATGTATATTATTTGATAAGTATATTTCAAGATATTTTATTTTATTTTTAATCCATCTGAATGTAAAAGTTTCTTGTAATATTTTAGCAGTTTTTTGGGGAATTGAAATATTGAGAATTTCAGACTTAGATTGATTGACTTTAAAGCATGAGAGTTCCCCAAATATTTGTAATTATTTTATTATATTTGATAGCCATATCTGGGGTCTAGTAATACAAAACAAAAGGTCATCAGCAAAAGCTGATATTTTATACTGTTTTCTTCATATTTCAAGGCCCGTAATATCAGAATTATCTCGAATAGCACTGAAAAAGGGTTCCAAGACCAAAACAAATATAATCGGGGAGAGTGGACAGCCCTGTTGTGTTCCGTTCGACAGGGGTATTAGACCCAAATGTAGGCCATTCATGCAAACCTTAGCTGTAGGCGTATAATAAAGAACCTTTATTTGCTTTAACATATTGGGTCCAAAACCAATATGATCTAGAACTCCAAATAAAAAGGTCCAATCCAACCTGTCAAACGCTTTTTCTGCATCTGTTGACAGGATTAAGGCTGGATCTTTCCCTCTCCCAGATTCATATATCAGGTCTATAACCTTTGTCATTGTATCTCTTGCCTCTTTGCCCAGGATAAATGCAGTTTGGTCCTCCCCTATCAGAGAGGGCAAGGTTTCTTTGATTCTCTCACTCAATATTTTTGTGAAGATCTTTATATCGCACTTAATAAGCGATATAGGTCTATAACCTGTACATAGTTCTTTGTCTTTTCCCGGTTTGGGAATAACAATGATTTGTGTTTCTTTTTTTTTTTTTTTTTTATTCTTTTTTTTTGTAGTGGATAAGCTTTGAACAGATGCATGTGAGGTACCCCAAAGGCAATCCTCCAGCTGATAATTAACAGTTGAACATAGAGGTACATGGTAGATCTAGCACATTTTCTATATAGGGATAGGATGGGTGCTAAACAATATATGTTTTCATCGCTTAGGGTGCTTAGGTATTCTCATAACACAATGCAACAGCGCTTTACTATCTAGTTATGATATTATTATGCTGTGTCAAGAGCTTGTATGTGCATATAAGCTAAGTGTAGAATTAAGGATGAGTTTACAAAATTTTCAAGTACATGCATATAGACTATGTGCTGCAGGGTTGAGACATGTAGTGCTGTATGTTTGCTAATTCCATGCTAATGGCAGGTAAGTGCCTTTATTCCATTATACATTGCAGCTTAATAGTTTTTACCGAGCTTACTATTTGCCACAATAGTTGCGAATGTATTATAAGCCTGCAAAGTTAAGGCAAAAACAGGGAAAAACATAGTGAAGCAGGAACACATCTCTAGCTATATTAACAGGCTAGTGCTTTAAAATTATAACGCTATATTCAGGCTATGTCTAGGTCACTTTAGTGGAATTTCACCCTGGTTAATCGGCCCAGTGGAGAGGGCCGCCATCATGGTGGTCCCGAGACCTCACAGACAGGGGGAGTCCCGCCACTACTCGATACCTGCTCTGCTGTTTCTGAGTAGCTGGGAGTGAGTGTCTGTCAGAGCAGGCATCAGGGCACAGTCCCTCCATGTTGTGCATTGGGTTGCTTGCTGGGATCTCTTGGGTTTCCGCTGTAGCTTGTTGCGCTTGCCTCTCTTGTTCATCCGGGAGCTGGTGACCGCCATTGTAGAGGATTTGGTGATGGCTGCTCGGGTATGCCAGTTTCTGTGTCGCCTCAGTGCAAGCTGGTTGGGAGTAAGAGGTCGGGTGGTGTGCTGGGGTTTCTCGCTTGGCGGTAAGCTCGGTCCTTCCAGGTGGGAATGTTGGTGTTCGGTGTAGCGCCATCCCCTCGGTGCTGTTGCCGCTGGTTTGGATGGCTGTGGGGGTAGGCGAGAGTTGTCCTACTTCCCTGTGTTGCAGGGTCGGAAAGCAGGAGCTGCGATGGTAATTGTGAGCGTGGGGAGAGAGCTGGTCTTCCCCTTGCCTCCCGCGCACATGGTGCCCGCCATCTTGGGCGCAGCCGTCGGGCTCTCCGACACAGTCTGCGGCAGCTCGGTCAGGGCCACAGGGTGAGGACCGGGGTCACCCCCACCGGTCCAAAGGGGGGGGGAACAGGGCTGGGTCCGCTCGGGTTCGTGCCTCTGGCTGGATGCTGTGTTGCAGGATAGCGGGGCTGCAGCTGTCAACCCCACTCACCACCGGAGAAGGCCTCTGTTGGGGCAACAAAATTTCTCCTCCAGGGGACTGAAGCTCGGTGAGCCAGCCTCTCCCTGGATCCAGTATTCCCCTTGCTTTGGGAACAATTGCTGTCGGTCTGCTTTGAAGTTAGAAGGCATAGTGGATTAGCGTTTTGTGGCTATGTGTTGCAGGAGCTTCCCTAGCTTGCGACCGTCCAGCTCGGCGGTCCGTCCCTGCCCCCCTAATTTGTGTTTCTTGTGACTGTTCTGGCAAGTTTTCTCCTTCGGTAATAGATCTATATAGTTATATTAGATTATAACCTAATACATTCTTAGAAATCTTATAATAGACCATTGTTAATCCATCTGGTCCAGGATTTTTGACATTTGATGAATTCTTAATGGCTTTTCCAATTTCTTCAAGCGTTATTGGTTGGTCTAGTCTAGTTATCTCTTCCTTGTTAAGTTTAACATTAAGATGTTCATCAAAATAGTTTTTAATATTTTTATTTTTATCTTTTATGCTTAGCCCTTTAGTGTCTGGTAAATTGTACAAGTCATGGTAATATTGTGAGAATGCCTCTGCTATCTGTTCGTCATGTTATACGTTTTTCCTCCCTTTTTAATTTTCTCAATATAGTTCTGAGTACCTCTTTCTTTAAATGCCTTGGCTAATAGCCTATGTGGTTTATATCCATACTCATAATATCGACTTCTAATATTCATATAATTCCTTTGTATTTTTGGTTTAACTAGCAAAAATTAGAATTAGCTAATTTCAACCTTAGTTCCTGAAGTTTATAATATATTGCTGTCGTAGCGTGTAATTTATGGGTAATTTCTAATTGAGTTATTTCATCTATTATTCTTATACAATCAGCCATGTTCTTTTTCTTTATATATAACCCCCAGTTAATAAACTTTCCTCTAACTGCCTTGTGGGCAACCGGGATTTCAGGTGAATAATTTTCATTGAAGTACTGTACTTCTTAAACTTATCTATAGACTCATCTGACTTTAATAAATTCTCATTTAATCTCTGATTGAAAATCTTTTTACAATTGTTTACCAAATGTAGGAATCTGTGTGTCATAAAAAGATAATCTATTCTTGAATGTCTGTCATGCGGTATCGAGTAATATGTAAAATCTTTTATGCCTGGGTTGGTCACTCTCCAAACATCAACAAGTTGTAGACTGTTTAGTTCTTTTTATATTTGCTTAAGTTTTGAATATTTAAGAGTAGAAGAACCCGTAGCGGTATCTACCAACGGGTCTATGGAAACATTAAAGCCCCCTCCCCCAATATTATGATACCTTCTGCAAAATCATTTGATTTATTCAGAATGGAGCCTAAAAATATGTTTTGTTTCTCGTTAGGAGCATATATACATGCTAATGTTATTATTTGTTCACCCAGAGATCCCTTAAGAAATAACGCTCTACCTTCTTTATCTTTCCATTCTTGCTTTAGAATAAATGGAATATTCTTGTTTATTGTCAGGATCCAAAAATCTAAATTCTGAACTGTATACATTTTTCTTAAATTTGTTCCTGCAGTTACTAATATTTGCCTGTAGTGGCTTCCCTAACCACTAGCACAGATATTTCCATCTCATCCTCACCTGCCTGGACTAATTCATATCCTATGAAAGGTTACACCCAACTCACCTCATGGCCTTGACATTGAAGTTGTTGATTGCCTGAAAGACTTTAAATCCTGGCTCCTATGTTATAACCTGTGAACTTACCTTATTGGCTTCAAACCCTGCTTTACTCACCATCCTGCTCCAGACTTGCCTGAACAACTCTACATTCCTGCTTTATCTACAAACCTGCACCATACCAGCCTGAACAACCCTAAATCCCTGCTTGACATCCAACTTGATTATATTGGCATCTATCATAAAAGACCTACTACTACGGTACAACCTCTAATCCAAAGAAACTGAACAACTACAAACCTATATAAGTAATCTTTATATTTCTGTCTAGTTCTAGTTCTTTATATTTCTGTCTAGTTGTTATATGTTTTCCTCTAACTTATTATTTCATTAATAGATTTTCATTCTCTCACTTTACATATCTCTCTTATTGTCTAAACCCTTTACTTCATAGCCTAGTTATTCTTACCTGTAATCTGTTATTCGGTTCTGTTTTCTCTCTCTCTCTCATTCCTATAATGTCTATTAAAGGATATCCTGTTCATACTACAGTTGCAAGAAAAAGTATGTGAACCCTTTGGAATGATATGGATTTCTGCACAAATTGGTCATAAAATGTGATCTGATCATCATCTAAGTCACAACAATAGACAATCTTGGATTTAATAACTGGTTGAACCTCCTTTGGCAGCAATAACTTCAACCAAACGTTTCCTGTAGTTGCAGATTAGAAGTGCACAACGGTCAAGAGTAATTCTTGACCATTCCTCTTTACAGAACTGTTTCAGTTCAGCAATATTCTTGGGATTTCTGGTGTAAATCTCTTTCTTGAGGTCATGCCACAGCATCTCAATCGGGTTGAGGTCAGGACTCTGACTGGGCCACTTCAGAAGGCGCATTTTCTTCTGTTTAAGCCATTCTGTTGTTGATTTACTTCTGTGCTCTGGGTCATTGTCCTGTTGCAATACCCATCTTCTGTTGAGCTTCAGCTGGTAGACAGATGGCCTTAAGTTCTCCTGCAAAATGTCTTGATAAACTTGGGAATTCATTTTTCCTTCGATGATAGCAATCCGTCCAGGCCCTGACGCAGCAAAGCAGACCCAAACCATGATGCCCCCACCACCATACTTCACAGTTGGGATGAGGTTTTGATGTTTGTGTGCTGTGCCTTTTTTCGCCACACATAGTGTTGTGTGTTTCTTCCAAACAACTCAACTTTGGTTTCATTTGTCCACAGAATATTTTGCCAGTACTGCTGTGGAACATCCAGGTGCTCTTGTGCAATGTTTTGTTTGGACAGCAGTGGCTTCCTCTGTGGTATCCTCCCATGAAATCCATTCTTGTTTAGTGTTTTACGTATTGTAGATTCACTAACAGGGATGTTAGCATTTGTCAGTGACTTTTGTAAGTCTTTAGCTGACACTCTAGGATTCTTATTCACCTCATTGAGCAGTCTGCGCTGTGCTCTTGCAGTCATCTTTACAGGACGGCCACTCCTAGGGAGAGTAGCAGCAGTGCTGAACTTTCTCCATTTATAGACAATTTGTCTTACCGTGGACTGATGAACAGCTTTTGGAGATACTTTATAACCCTTTCCAGCTTTATGCAAGTCAACAATTCTTAATCGTAGGTCTACTGAGAGCTCTTTTGTGCCAGGCATCATTCACATCAGGCAATGCTTCTTGTGAAAAGCAAACCCAGAACTGGTGTGTGTTTTTGTTTTGTTTTTATATTCTTTATTTTTGCAGTGCAAAGAATAACAAATAAGCTTACAATGCCACAACGACATCGACAAGCTCAGCGATAACAAACAGTATAACAATTCAATGTGGCATACAGATTGACAGCACAATTTTATGAATAATAAATGATATGTAGCAAAGTTGTAGCTAAGTAGCAACGTCTGTCTCATTACAATACTTTGTCGATTAATAACAGTGGTTTAAGGTTAATAATTACGTAGAGTATCATTACTTTAACATCTAGACAGTAACCTGGCTATGCTTGACTACGCATAAGTGCGAGGCTTACATTTTATATAGTGACTGCTGGCCCAGGTAGGCATAACATGCAGTAGAAGAGATCGCAGGTTTGCATTTTAGGTTATGATAAAGTATACAGTGCTGACTAACGGTAAACTTGTAATTCTAGTAAGGATTCCAACGTAACTAAGATTCTCGTTAATACAAGGTGTTACCAGGCGAAGCACCTTACCTTCTGCTATCTCCTCACACACAAAGCTCAGCCAAAAATGTGTAAGTCACACCGTGACTGCGACCACGGTGCTATCTAAGATCACCTAAACAAGTGAGGTAGGCATGTCTAGGTGTAGAAATATACGGTATTGCCAATGGCATAGCGTAATCTTAACATGTGGGTATATTTTAGAGCAAGGGAAAAATTCGCTGAACATACTATACTAAACAAGTTATAGATTAGCTGTGGCACCACGGTGTATTGTCCACATCTCGGAGATATGGAGGGGAAAGGAGAGAAATGTGAGAGCCCTTCCTGATAAGCCAGATTACAACAGGCATTAGGCCCAGTCTCCGTCAACAAGGTGTAGTAAGTCTGTAAGTGTCGCAGTAATTGTGGTTGTTCTGTACGGCTCTAAGGGGTTTAAAACTGCTTAACTTGCCGTTAGGTATTGATATCAGTTAAGGTGGTCAGTGTTGCTGTACGGGTATCCAAGGGAGTTAAGGGGTGAGTGAATTATGTTATGGAGGCATCGCTTCAAGTCAGTGTGATGTCGTGGCCCTGGGGGGAGGGGGGTTGGGTGTTGTTCCATGCCCCCATGGGACTGGTGTCTGTTACTATGATCCATCAGTCAGTGGCTCCTGGTCTCATTCTTGTTATAGGTGCGTCATGCTAGAGGTGACATGTAGTTTGTCCCGTTAGAGGTGTCCCTAACCAACGGGGTTGTGTGAGGGGGGGGGGGGATATATCAGTGCAACCTGCTCAAGGCTTTGAGTGATGTGGGATGGGAGAGCACTCTGTGGGTCTTAATGGTCCAGCCAACTCAGGCCCTTAGTTGTGGAGAAGTGACTGTTTTGCGGGTTGTACGTCAAACATGTTACGAAAACTGAACATTGCAAACATTGTAAACAGTAACACAATTAATGTTTGAGAGGTTGGTGCTCTGTGGCGCCGCAGGTCGTTGCAGTCATGTCTCCGTTTGGGTCTGCGAGGCGCCTCTTGGCACGAAAGGGATCAGACGATTAGGGTCCAACGTCCGGTCAGCTGGTGGTGTTTCTTCCCCATCCATGGCAGGTAGTCCCAGAGCCTGCAAGAATTGTGGTGCATCCGTAATGGATGTGAGCTGGTAGGTAGCTCCCTGGTGAGTCACCGTCAGGGTCCTTGTGGGTCCCCATCTGTAGGTCAAGCCAGAGTCCCGCAAGCGGCCAGTGATTGGTCTGAGCGATTTCCGCCACTGCAGTGTAGACCTCGTAAGGTCTTGATAAAATGTGAGATGTGCATTCTCAAACAGGTATGGCGTTTTATCGCGCACCGCGGTCATGCTGGTTCTTTTATCTAGTAATGAGGAGCACCGGACTATAACATCGCGAGTGATATTAGGGGGTGCGTTTGGGGGCTGCGGCAGTCTATATGTCCCATCAATGGTCAGTTTCCTGGTTGTGTGTTGGGGTAGAATAGTGGCCAGCAGGCGCCTCAGATAGTGTGGCAACTCCTCCGCGGGGACCCCGTTAGGTATGCCCCTCACCTTGATGTGGTGCCGCCTGCTTCTGTCCTCCATGACCGCTAAGCGTGCATGCAGGTTTTGTTGGGAGGATTCAACCTTCTGGAGAGCGTCTTGTAGGTGAGACATGTTGCCGCGCAGATCCAAGATGTCCTCTTCGGAGGCGCGGACCCTGTCTGTTACCGCTTTGACCTCCTCCTTGAGCACGGCTGTATCAGCAGCTAGCATTTGTTTAATGTCCAGCAGGAATTTCTGAATGTCTTGTTTGGTGGCAAGTTCTTGCCCTTCTTGTGGTGCTGATATGGTAAGAGTCCTGTCTGGGACCTTGGGCTGCACTTGTGGGTCCGCCATTACCTCGAGGCTATTTGAAGTAGAGGTCCTTGGGCCTTCTGCGTGCGCCATCTTGGGTTGTGATGGACGCTGCAGTAGGGTTCCTATGTCCCTTGTTTCTGTCACTGTGCTTGCCGGCGTTCTTTGAGAACGGCGCCCCATGGTGAGTGTGTCGCCCCGTACGGTAGGTTGGTTGTGCTCCACTGTGCTGCAGAGGTCTGTTGTCCGCCAGAGTAGGCCGGTAGTAGGCCGGAGCCTTGTGTTTCAATTTCCTCGGCTTCGTAGCATATATGAACGGCATCCGTCCGGGCTGGGAGGTTCCCCAGGATGTTAGCAGAGCGTCCCCCTGTTTGATGGTTGGTGATTTTAGGGTTAAATGCCCGAAAGTACAGGATTATTGAGAAGCCCCGTGCAGATGCGTCTGCTCCCGTTCGTTAGCAAGCTCCGCCCCCTGGTGTGTGTTTTTTATAGGGCAGGGCAGCTGTAACCAACACCTCCAATCTCATTTCATTGATTGGACTCCAGTTGGCTGACATCTCACTCCAATTAGCTCTTGGAGATGTCATTAGTCTAGGGGTTCACATACTTTTTCCACCTGCACTGTGAATGTTTACATGGTGTGTTCAATAAAAACATGGCAGCATTTCATTCTTTGTGTGTTATTAGTTTAAGCAGACTGTGATTGTCTATTGTTGTGACTTGATGATCAGATCACATTTTATGACCAATTTGTGCAGAAATCCATATCATTCCAAAGGGTTCACATACTTTTTCTTGCAACTGTATGTCTAAGATCACAAATAACCCCAGTCTCATCCCTGACCTGCACAAGATCATGACATTTAAACAAATAGCGACTCCTTTATTTTTGTTTTTTGTTTTGGTGAGAATAATATATCTGTGAGAATTTACAAGGAGTTAATTTAGGGACATTATCTTTAAAGAAATTAGTTTCTTGGATAAATCCTATATCGGCATTCAGTAGACTTAGTTCCTTATACCATTATTGATTTCTTTAAAGGAGAATTTAATCCATTAACATTTATTGATATTATATTTATTGTAAGTGTTTTTGTATCCATTACCTAGTATAGGTTAGCTTACATATTAGCTTAACAGACATTTTTTTTTCCTTCCTCCCTCTCCTCTCTCTCTCTTTTTCCAGTTATTCTATATTTCTGGAGGGATTTATTTATTTAGTTAGGAGGTTGTGGTATCAAGACTGTTGATGTTGGTTAGTAGGGGGAGAAAACACAAAAAAACCCCACACAAATCCATATAAACATAGAAAATCCCATACCGTTACCTTGGGTCTCCTAACTCATAAGAGGTCTTCACTACATATTCCAGTTACTGCACAGTCCTCCTCTTTATCTACATGAGTCTATTGACACCTTTGGGTCTAAATAGAAGAGTTACAAGTCAGATAATCTCCCTGACTCCTCTCCCTGCGAACTATCATACCCTGCCTTTAATTTTTCCCTTCTATTATTCTTTTCTTTCATAGCTAACCTATTCATTCTTTCGATATTGAAATCCCTAGGGATAGGACCAGGAGTTAGAGAGATATATAAGTTCATCACATATCTTTGATGATCTGATTACATATGGGGGGGAGGGGGTTAGAGAGGGAGTGGGAGGGGATATTTCAGAATTATTCTCGGATTTCGTGTTATACCTCTTACTTATTCAGCCATCTATTCATTTTACAAAAAAGCCCTTCTTCTACTTTCCATTTAAAAAAAAATAAAATCTTTTATTCTTTATTTTTGTTGTACATATAGTAACAACAAGCTTGCCAAGCCACAACAGCGATCACAAGCATATTATAGTCAGACAAGAGAAACATTGATATGACTTTCAAATAAACTGCACTTTTTTCTTATGATATAATTAGTAGAAGGAAAGATAGGCAGTGGTGAGATTAGACGACATGCGGTAAAAAGCAGGCTATACCAACTGACTATGTGCATTATTTTTACAAGGTTAAACAGGTGTGTTATTGCCAGGCTAACTAGTAAAATGAGGAGCTTGACATCTGATTAACTAGGTGAATATTAAAAACAAGAGTAAACAGTTAGATTGTATGCTAGGCAGATCAAGATTAACGTTTAAGCATTACGGTTAGGCCACCTATACCCCACACTTCCTGCCGTGATTGCCCTGTAAGATAAAGCTAGGTAACATGCAGGTTCCCCCCACCCAAACTTCGCTTTCAATTGTGTAGTTCTGTCTATGTTAGACCTGGAGAAGCAGACCAAGGCAAAATAAGTGAGTGAGGCAGGGTCCATGAAAAGACTTGGATGTAGGACCTGGAGGTATGAAAGCGCACCTCGACCCTGAAGCGTAGTGCTCTCTGACAGTACAGCGTGGTGCAGCCCTCAGGGTTGAGTGTCCACAGTCAGCCTATTCCCATGCTGGGCAATGTGGTGGCAGATATTGCGGGGGTCCTCTAGGGTGACGATGCCGGGTGGGTCCGAAGGGTACACCTTACAATCCCGGGCCTTGTGGGAGGTCGGCGTCTTCTCCCCACAGACTCGGATGTTCAGTGAGGCTGTGTCTGTCCCTCTTCGGGCGCTTTTTTTAACCATTATGCTTAGTGGGAAGCCCCATCTGAATGGGACATTTCTATCCTTAAGAGAATCTGTTATTATTATTATTACTATTATTATTTTATTTTATTATTTATGTAGCTCCAGCAAATTCCATAGCTCTGTAATTGTCTTCAGTTTTTTTCTGGCTTGTAGTATTGCCCATGATAAATCAGGTAGGATTTGTATCTTAGAATTATCTATCATCAGATTTTTATGTTGTCTTGCTTTTTTAATATTTTCTCTCTAGCTGCAAATGAGTGCAGACAGCATATTATATCTCTTGCTACTGGATTTAGGATGTCTTTTGGTTTTAGTGCCCTGTGAGCTATGTCAATTTTTATATCTGAAGTTGCTTCATTGATTAGAACCTTATTAAAAAGGTATTTTAAGCTTGTATACAAATCTTCTGAGTTACTTGTTTCAGGGACTCCCCTTATCCTTAAGTTACAGCATCAACTCCAGTTATCAGTCATTCATCTCTTGGGCCATATTTTCTATATATTTTCTTGGTGCTTTAAGCTGTAATTGCAAGTCAGTTAATGCAGAATGTAAAGTTATTTGGTTTGATTCAAATGTTTGTATTCTATTGCCCAATTGAGTCAGATCTTCTTTAAGGGTATTAGATTCCTCTTTAATTAATGTTTTGATGTCACACTGCTATTTCAAAGTTCTATTTTACTTGCTTAATAGCAGAGTTTAGATCCTTTTTTGTTATTACTTTCTTAACAGAAAGAAAGCCTTAACAGAAAGGGGTTGCTGTATCTCTCGTGCAGAGAGAACTTGCTGGCATTTTGGATCTGGACTGCCCATATGGGTGGGATCAGTCTGATATGCTTCAGATATGTGCTCTCTGTAATGGCACAAGATGAGCTAAAACCAACTTGTGTTCTGAGCGGGGACCCACCAAAGGGCAGGCTATTTCAGCTGCTGTCCATTCTCAGAATACTCTTGCGACCCGTTTTTTGCTCTCCATAAGTTTAAAGGGTAATCCAGACATGGACCCTTGCTCACGGTGCCTAGAAAGATATCAGCTATGCCTCACTGATGATGCCTAACAAGGCTGAAACGATTGTCTGGGGTTGCTGTTTCTCTCATGCAGAGAGAACTTGCTGGCATTTCGGATCTGGACTGCCCGTATGGGTGGGACCAGTCTGATATGCTTTAGATATGTTCTCTCTGTAATGGCACAAGATGAGCTAAAACCAGCTTGAGTTCTGAGCGGGGACCCACCAAAGGGCAGGCTATTTCAGCTCCTGTCCATTCTCAGAATACTCTTGCGACCAGTTTTTTGCACAGATAGAAAGCCCTCCTTCCCCATGTTACCTTCATCTTCTGGTTTGGCTCTCTGGTGGGATCTATTGGTGTGGCTCTCATGGAAGTACGTCCCTCCATCTCGTTTCCTTTACACATCGAATGTGTTAACCTGCTTTCTTGTAAAGAAGTGTCCACTTCTTCTCTTTCAGACCCTTTTTCCGATATCCCACATTCCTCGTCACTCAGGCTGCTTGCCGCTGTGCCGCCGTCTGCAAACAGATCTCTCCTCTGAGTTTTCATCACGGGCGGAGGAGTCACAGGTGATGGGACTAGGAGGCTCTAAGGTTCTTTTTATTTTTACCCATTTCTTTCCTTCTGGGCAGTTTTCAATCGGTTAGGCTTAGCTGTATGAGGCACAGTCAATTTGCAGGTTTCGAGTATCGGCAGAGCGTCCTTCTTCACATGCTCTTCTGGTCACACCCTCACTCAAGTTAATTTATTATCTTATATAATACTTTTTTCCAAGAAAAGGGTTGCTGCAATTATATTGTTCCTTGGGTGTATTGTATCATCCTGACACACAGGTGACAGCACATTTTGCTGTCTTATATAATCCTATAATCCTTTTATTTCGTTGCAATTTTCTTTTTCATTGCCATTACATTGGGTCAATATCGATGTAGCATCTGACATTTAAGATTTTACTACGCACTATTGGAATCACTACTTTGTTGAACATTATAAAGGAAAATATATTCCTACTTACCGTAATTTTCTTTTCCTGGTCATAGGCCATGGCAGCACAACAATGGGTAGCTCCAAAACAGAAGGTATAAGTAGCCCCTCCTACCCTTCCTACCCTCAGTCTTGTTTCCAGCAATATCCCAGGGTGGGATCTTTGTGCTGCCATGGCCTATGACCAGGAAAAGAAAATTACGGTGAGTAGGAATACATTTTCCTTTTCCTGGCCATATCCATGGCAGCACAACAATGGGTAATACTCAAGAAGTGAGTCAAACAGGAGGGATAAAAGTTGCCAGAAATTATAAAAATAGAGATGTGTTATAACATATATGTATAAAATAAATAAAAATTAAAAAAAATAAAAAAGAAAGTTTTTCTGGAAGATAAAACCTCAAAGAGTCAGGGTAGTTCCTCTGGAATGGGGTCAAATCAGAGTATTCTTAGAAGCCATATATGCAACAGAAAGAGAGAACTAATGGTGCAGACAATCCCAGAATAACATAAAAGTAAATGAAACGTCTATGGTCCTGCTTACAATTGATAGAGCTTAACCTAGCTCTAGTCTGAATGGCGTACAGTGGTACAA